CGGTAGAGAGAAAGCTTGCAAGCGTCTCTTTAACCCGAGGCATTGTCATACCATGATACTTAATACCCATAACATAACTATAGTTAGACGTTTGGGGATTATACACATAAAATAGAAACCGGTTTATTCCACGATCTCGACACCTCAGTGTGGAGATAGGGAAAAAACGGCAGTCTCCGACGAGGAGGCTGAGATACAGAGTTTTCCTGTTTTCTTAGATATATTTCATCTAATAAACTCTTTTTATTTTTTAACGCGAACCGAACCGTCCTCCTCGAAGAACGCCCGACGGGAGCGGAGCGTCCTCACGGACAGCTTCTCGCAATGCTCACAGTCAGCCCCCTCGAGAACTGACTGTTGGCATGCTCCACTCCCAAACAGCAACACAAAGCTGATGTGTGTGTCCCCACCCGTGATATAACGTGGGCAGGGAACAACACAAAGCTTGCTTGCTCTCTTTTGCCATAATATATATATATTGCAACTTGACAGACAACAATAAATATGACAAGGACAGAATACACAGATCGCTTGCTGAAGGCGCAGAAGCTGACGCGGTCTGTTTTCAGGGGTGCTTTATAGTTTCCTGGTTGATGACGTCACCCGCCTATGACGTCTCGTCTTTCCATTGGACTGATTATACACTTGCTTTACGACGCAATCACGCAGGGTGTTCCCACCGCGTCTCGACGCAGCTCGAGTTCTCTTGAAAGGAAACTTCCTCACGTAATAACCTAGAATACTGTCTAACACTTGATGGCTGCTCTGTCAAGTCCTCGTTGTCGGTTAGGAACCTGTGTGTGTGTGTGTGTGCTCTTTGACAACAATCTTTCATTTGAAAGTCACGTGTCTAGTGTCTGTAAAACCGCATTTTTCCATCTTAAAGAATATATCTAAATTACGTCATATGCTCTCATTGACGAATGCGGAACAATTAGTTAATGCGTTCATGGCCTCAAGACTAGATTACTGTAATGCTCTACTGGGTGGTTGCCCTGCACGCTTAATAAATAAACTACAGCTAGTTCAAAACGCAGCAGCTCGAGTTCTTACCAGAACCAGGAAGTATGACCATATTAGCCCGGTTCTGTCAACACTGCATTGGCTCCCTATTAAACATCGTATACATTTAAAAATATAGCTAATTACTTACAAAGCACTAAATGGTTTAGCTCCAGTACTTGAGCGAACTCTTAACGCATTATAGTCCTTCACGTCTATTGCGATCTCAAAATTCCGGCCAGTTGATAATACCTAGAACATCAAAATCGACTGCAGGCGGGAGATCGTTTTCCTATTTAGCACCAAAACTCTGGAACAGTCTTCCTACCATTTTCCGGGAAGCAGACACACTCTGTCAGTTCAAAGCTAGACTAAAAACACATCTCTTTGACCTAGCATTCACAACACACATTATAGACTTCTATAATTCAATGTTAGGCTGCATAGATTAGGTCAGCCAGAACTGGGAACACTTCCCATAAATCCTGATGTACATTATAAGAAGAATGGCATCTACGCTAATATTAGTTTCTCTGTTTATCCCGAGGTTTACTGCAGTCCAGCGGATCCAGGCCGTACCCAGATCTGATGAAGGACCTGCGTCTGGACACGGACACACGGACACACGGACACACGCACACACACACACACACACACACACACACACACACTCCAGTTCTGATGAAGGACCTGCGTCTGGACGCGACGACAACGCAGGCCTGAAGTGTCACTAATCCCTCCCTGTGAAGGCCTCCTTCCCTTTACCTCTAATCGTTGTCGGGATAATTCCGGGATAAGTTCGCGTGGCTACGCCGAAGCGATACAATTCTGTATTATAAATTTTAAGGCCAGACAAGTAGTTTGTTGAGGGTTGGTTTTTTAGGGAAGGACTACATGCCTGCGCACATATATTCAAACGCGCATCCCTATAGAATGAACTCTTAAGAGTTCTCGAGTCAACAGTTCTCGAGTCAACAGTGCACAAATGGTTTCTTTCGGACTGAGAACAGATGAGCTATAGATTCTGACCGAACGGTTTATTTCGTACAACTGATGCTGTGCTGATACTAGGAGCACGGGTGAACCAAGGACTGGAATTTGCCATTATGTAAGTTTATTTAATGACAAATAAAATCTACTAGAGAATGCGAATGCAACTGGTTTTATTAAACATTTTAATATGATAAACATGCAACAACTGTTCAGTCAAAACATGTAAATGAAAATGAAAAATGAAAACATGTTTTTCTATTTACTATTGTGTGTGCACATTATATTTTAAGATTTATGAGCTGGATCCTGGTTTCTGTAAAAAGTTGATGTCTATATTCACTTTATATCTTAAAGAAGTGTAAAACATCCGCGTTTGCACATCAGTGCTTGTATTGGGAGCTTTTGCAAAACGTTAATGTAAGAAACTTATCCAAAATGATGATGATGATGATGGCGATAATTATTAGTATTTAACTGAAGTTAGAATTACAATTTACTTTATTTGAATGTGTTTTAATGTATTTTCATCAGCCGGGATGATAGAATCGAAGTCATTACGCAAGGACGTAAAAGAGCAGGTGAATGAAACGAACTGTCCGAAGGAACCAGCTCGCCAAAAACAACCGAACTTCCCATCTCTACCTTTAATATTACAGTAATGTACCTTCTGACTCACTGTACAGTTTACAACATTAGCTGAGAGATTTTATTTCCTTGAGAAAAGTTGACATTTACTGTACCAGATATATTCAAATTAATCTATAGCGAATTGGATCGGAATCGAATCACAAGCTTGTGAATCGAATCGTGAAATTTGTGTCAATACCCAGCCCTACCGAACAATATTAGGTCTTCATTGAAAAGGCAATTCTACAAATGTTATCTGCAAAAGGCAACTAAGTCGAAACCTAATGATTTCATGAATTCTCCTTTATTTCCATTAATTTCAAATTACGGTGACGTATTAAGGTGAATAAATCTAAATAACTATAAAAACAGTGGTGTTCTAAATCTTTTGACACCCTTCAAAATATACATGTGAACACTTTTAACATTTGAAAGCAACTACCTGTCAGTCAGTTCATCTCAATAGACCAAAGAAAGATTTCATGAGGGAGTCAAGGGGGATTCTATAAATAACCAATTGACTTAAATTTGCTGCTTTTCTGCAAATCATTGGCATTACAAAAACTTCTTATAGAATGTCATTGACTGATGTAGTTTCTTCACTCAAAAAAAGGTATTTTAATGCAAGGTTCATTAATCAACATAAATAATTGCGATATTTTAAGAGAAATGTTTTGATGTTGTCATAATTATGCAGCCCTAACTCATGTTGTCTGTGTCTTCTATACAGAGTCTGATTTCTGTAGTCCTTCAGAAAAATGTGCCACGTCTGTTTTAATGCAAATTCTTTTCTTTTGAGAGAAATAATGCAGTCCTATCATGTATCTTGACCACTGCAATTAAGACTGAGTCTTTAGCCAGTTCGTCCGGACAGCTGAGTCTTTAGCCATTTTCAAAAAATGTCTAAAGACACATCTTTTTCGCCAGCACCTGACCAATTAACACTAGCACTTGCCTATTCTATTCTATTTGTTTTTCTCATATAAAAAATACAGTACTAAAAACTGTACTAGACTAACTGAGACTTGTTACAGCACTTGTATACTGTTGCCGTCTTGCTGGTCTGATTGCTTCTATTGTTCTCCTCAGTTGTAAGTCGCTTTGGATAAAAGCGTCTGCTAAATGATTAAATGTAAATGTAAGACAGTTAAGAGCAAGCGCATCATAACTGAAATCCAAATAGGCCAAATAGCTCTGTTTTTTATTCACTACATCAACAGAAGTCTAAGCAGCCGTCTACAATGTTGGAGATGTCTGCTACATGTACAATATAAAGCTGAGACAAAAAATATCGTAACAGCCCATTCCTATAACGACACCTGTTGGTGTCACATTTCAAGATGGGAAAATAACTTTACAAGACATTCACTGCTGAAAAATTGAAGGACTTGTAAATTCTACTAAAGTTTCAAACAAACAGCTAAAGGTTAGCCAATTTCAGATCATGCAAACGTTTTGATTGAGGCCAAGGAAACAATGTTTAAGTTATCACGTCATTCAGCCAAGGTCAGGAGTCTCATTTATAAAACTGTGTAGGATTCTTGCTAAAAGTGTACGTGCGGCCGAAAGCCAAAAATGGCGTACGCAAATAAATATTCAGACTTATAAAACCGTTCGTACACCAGAACCTGCGCATAATTCACTTTATAAATCCCAGTCAGTGGAAGATAGTGCACATGCGTCTCCTCCCCGAAATTACCATATATGAGCTTACAACGCCTCGTTTTCCTATGCATATCCTCATCTGCATATGATTATTCATCCACATTATAACATGTTTAACGGTACAAGAAAATATGAGATATGGATGTGCGTCACATTACATTAATAAAAATCCTTTAGTAGCCTATCCTATGAATAAATACATCAAATAGTGTAAAATACATTTCAGAGAAACTTTTTCTCAATCTTTTCAACTGGCCAAATAGTGTTTTTAATTGATTTATATTTTTTATGGAAACAGATAGACCTTGTTGTGCATTATTTGCACAAAACTATTTTCTCAGACAATCTGCTATTATCATGATAAGCAATTATCTCTGTAGTTAACACATTAAAACACAGCATGCCAGAGGAAAAGTGTTCAAAAGCATCGCATCCACAACAAATATTTCTATTTATTGAATATAAAAAATGTTGCAACTTCTCAGTAATGATTTCATGTAGTTTAAGTTTTTAACTCCATTAATTAGAATGGCATATTTAATCTAAATGTTTATATCAGAAGTAAAACAGTTTAAATCATTCTTTTATTTATTTAAACTATTATTGTGAGCATGCACTGTATTTATGATTAGAACTCATAATGAAGATTTATGGTTTTACAGTTGTGGTGCTTTCAGAGTCAAGCTTGACTATGACTGAAGAGGTACTGATACCTTTCTGTATAAGTTGGGCCGTCCTGCCAGTATTCACAAGCTTGTGAGGGGTCTGTAAAGGAATATCCAATAGCAGCCGGTGACTCTCCTCAAATGTTTGCTTGGACTCTTCTGCAAGCTCTTGTGCTCTTGTATTCTGTGAATAGAAGTTTTTCTCATCTTCTTCCCCTGTCACAAGGTCAACCTTTTCAGGCATCTGAACAACTGGCTCAAACTGAATATCGTCATTATCCTTTGTTTTGCACATTTCATCTTCTTGATCAGCAGAGGTGTCTGTCTTGGAGGTGGAATTAATGGCTGTAAACAGCTGCTGGCCAGCCCCTGCAAAGCCTTTGAAAGTGGGATCCTCCTGGCCAAACTGAAAACTACCCTGTGAAGAATTTGCCAATTCTGCGAAACCAAAGGAATTAGGTTTACCGGTAAGGAGGGGATTATTATCGTGGCTACCAGTATCTGAGGGCTCATCTGAGGAACTTGGGATTGCCTCTTTTTCCTTCTCTCTGTGAAGTTCAGCAATATCCTTCTGGCCGAACTGAAAACTACCCTGTGAAGAATTTGCCAATTCTGCGAAACCAAAGGAATTAGGCTTACCGGTAAGGAGGGGATTATTATCGTGACTACCAGTATCTGAGGGCTCATCTGAGGAACTTGGGATTGCCTCTTTTTCCTTCTCTCTGTGAAGTTCAGCAATATCCTTCTGGCCGAACTGAAAACTACCCTGTGAAGAATTAGCCAATTCTGCGAAACCAAAGGAATTAGGCTTACCGGTAAGGAGGGGATTATTATCGTGACTACCAGTATCTGAGGGCTCATCTGAGGAACTTGGGATTGCCTCTTTTTCCTTCTCTCTGTGAAGTTCAGCAATATCCTTCTGGCCGAACTGAAAACTACCCTGTGAAGAATTTGCCAATTCTGCGAAACCAAAGGAATTAGGCTTACCGGTAAGGAGGGGATTATTATCGTGGCTACCAGTGTCTACGAGCTCATCTGAGGAACTTGGGATTGCTTCTATTTCCTTCTCTCTGTGAAGTTCAGCAATATCCTTCTGGCCGAACTGAAAACTACCCTGTGAAGAATTTGCCAATTCTGCGAAACCAAAGGAATTAGGCTTACCGGTAAGGAGGGGATTATTATCGTGACTACCAGTATCTGAGGGCTCATCTGAGGAACTTGGGATTGCCTCTTTTTCCTTCTCTCTGTGAAGTTCAGCAATATCCTTCTGGCCGAACTGAAAACTACCCTGTGAAGAATTTGCCAATTCTTCGAAACCAAAGGAATTAGGCTTACCGGTAAGGAGGGGATTATTATCGTGGCTACCAGTGTCTACGAGCTCATTTGAGGAACTTGGGATTGCTTCTTTTTCCTTCTCTCTGTGAAGTTCAGCAATATTTTTTAGGAGGTCAGATGCAGATCCATTTTGTGACTGTCCGTCTGATGCGTTTGCCTCAGATTCTGCAATCCCAAACTTGAAACCACCAGCGGGCACTGGCATGGAAAACGAAAAATTTGAACTGCTTGACTTATCAGCCTGAGATGTAGAGGACTCTACAAACTTAAAACCTTCTGAGGATGCTTTTTCCTTACTTGTACCAAACTGAAAAGCAGGACCTGGATTTAAAGTGGCAGTAAATCCTGTTGCAGCAGGTTGCTTGCTAGAACTACCAAAACTGAATGAAGAAGAGGAACTTGATGGTGAAGTAGAGGTCTTGCCTTTCATATATGGGTTTGCTGCCTGACATGAAACACACTGCCTAGCTGTACCTTCATTTCTTACCAGGCAAGTCTCACAATCCCAATGTCCATTTTTTTTGCAGGGGGCTTTGCAAGAAACGCAATCAGTTGCTGAAGCATCATTCCTCACTAAGCAGGAGTCACAGTCCCATTGACCTTCTTTCTTAACAAATTGAGAGCCAAAACCAGGGAAAACTGGAGTTGCTGACACTTTTGCATGTTGTGGTGCATCAGCCCGAATAGTTTTCTCATCAGCCTGAGCTGCAAGGTCAACAGAGGTTACTGCAGAATCATTTGATCCAAATTGAAAAGAAACTGGTATTTGAGATCCAAATGCTAAACCCTTTGAGCTGACATCAGTGTCTCCAGTAAGTCCAAAAGAAAACAATTGCGCAGGAGGAGCCACAGGCGCAGAGCCTTTAAGTTCCTCTACAGGTTTGTTCTTTGCTGTAGAAGGAGCTGCACTGTTGCAGGCAACACACACTGCAGATGTGGGAGCGTTTCTTACACAGCACACATCACAGTCCCATTCACCCTGCTTCTTCGAAAACAGTGTTTTAAGATCCATTTCTTTGGATGAAACCTGAGGCTTTGGAGTTTCACATTTCTTTTTCAACTGTTGACCATGTGGGGACACTACAGGTTTGTTCTTCGCTGTAGAAGGAGCTGCACTGTTGCAGGCAACACACACTGCAGATGTGGGAGCATTTCTTACACAGCACACATCGCAGTCACATTCACCCGTCTTCTTGGAAAACAGTGTTTTAAGATCCATTTCTTTGGATGAAACCTGAGGCTTCGGAGTTTCATATTTATTTTCCATTTGTTGGCCTTGTGGGGACTCTAGAATTAATTTTTGAGCCTCCTCAAATTTGAATTTAAACAGTGTGGCCTCATCCGCCGTTTTAAAACGAATGGCCAACTGCTCAGTCTTGGGCATTTCATCTGCATAGTCCATAGCATACCACACCCAGGACTTGTCAGATCCAGCATTTGGTTTGAGGACCATATCTGCAGTGATATAGTGATTAGCACAGATTTTGAGAACCTGTTCCCTCCTCATCAACAGACGAACTTTCCCGGATGTTCTGTGTTTTAGAATTTTGAAACTTCCAATGCCCCTCTCTTTCCATTCTTTAGTCTCAGGGTCGAACCGGAAGAGTTTTGCCCTCTTGCAGAACATCTCATCTTCCTCCTCCTCACCCGTTTTCACATCAACCTTATCAGGAAGAGGCACAATGGGCTCAAAATGAGGTCCATCCTCTTCCTCTTCCACATGGGTGCTATCATTATCACTTTCCCCGCTTTTCTCTTCCCGAGCCTCTGGATTTCCTAATACAGGTTTGGTTCCACTTGCAAAGCTAAATCTTTGGTCAGTGTTGCCAAAAATATTAATTTTGCTCTGAGCAGCATCGGTGAATGAAAACCCTGTGGCACTTTTACTTCCAAAAGTAAAGACTCCACTTTGGCTAGGCGGATGCTCTTGGGTCTGATGTTTCGGTTCTGATGGTCCTTCCGCTTTGGGAGGAATATCTGACGTCAGAAGTCCCAAGAGGCTTTCACTATTTTTCATCTGAGCTAAGGAAAAGGTAAAATCACCATAATTGGACTTGAAATTGGAGTTGAACTTGAATGCAGTTGTTGCCGATGTTGATGGGGCACCGGCAACCCCCCCAAAGTTTGGAACCTTAGGAGGTTCACCTGTGAACTGCGACCCAAGACTCATCTTGGGGTCAACAGCCTTGTTTTCACTGCTCTTGGATGGCTGCGTGGATGTATCGACACATGGCTTAGTGAAATATCCAGGCTCTGGTAATGTTGGATTGACTGTAGGTTGAGGAAAATTGTGACCATAATACTCTTCACTGTATGGGGAGAGTAAGGATGTAGCTGGTGACTCAAACCGGATGGGAGCACCAAAGACCTGCTCTTGAGGATATATGCATGCAGGAGTTGACTGAAGAGGTGGTGTGTGTGTTGATTGTTGGTAGGCATACATATGCTGCTGTGGAGGAAGACGATTCATCCCGTAAACTGGGCCCTGCAGAGATAAACAAACAATACTTTGATATTGATTCTCTGTGCTTTTTCTTGGTAACTAAAAAGGTAGAATATATTGCATTTACATGAAAATCACTCCACTACCTTTGTTGGTGTAACATTTGCAGCAGTGCGTAGAAGATACTGTGAATTATATGCTGGAGACTGGTTGTAGTACGCAGAGGGACCTGTAGTGGCAACTGAGAAAAAAAAGGAATGCGTTTTAATTATGTCTTAAATATTGTATACACAAGTGGTTCTCATTTTTTTGATGATGCCCCCATTTAGAAGCTAAAAACAAAACATTTGCGGTACACTCATATATTAATGAAAAAATGTTTGCAATATTAAATCTGACACTTACGAATAAACCAAAAGCAGAAGCCAACAATATAATTGTAGGAGCCATGTAATGGGAAAGTCATGTGACCAAATGATAATGGGAGTGTCATTAATTAAGTGGGGTTAAAACACCTGTTGTGTGTGTGTTAGTATGGAAGAATGGGGGTGAGTGCTGGAGCATATATTTTGTTGACCGTGCAAACCTGTACAAAATAAAACAACATGCAAGCTTCAAGGATAAACGCGTCACACAAGTTATTCCTCCACTCAGCTGCTTAGCGGTTTTTGGATTGTTTTTGGGGCTGTTTACACCGTGCCACTTCATGCGTTTTCTGTGATGGGATAGCTATCCGATCGTGAAAAGACCAGGTGTAAAGGCCCTCCGAAACGCATTCGAGACGGATTTGAATCAGATCGCTCAAACCACTTCAGGAGGAGGTCTGGGCCGCATTCCAGACGAAACTGGACAAGTGTAAATGCATGTGGTTGTTGAAACCACATATTTAATTTGTACTCCTCCCAAAAATGCTAAAAAAATAAACGAGTGAGAGCGTGTTATACGCTATAAGTCATGTTATAGCCAGATATGACGGCGCTTCTGCAGAACGCATCACCGCAGATGAGCATCTATTCATCAAGCCAACGCCCCGCAAACTATTGCAAATCAAAGTGAAAGTAAGTCGCAGACGCTTAACACACAATCATTATCATTAAAAGTAAAGAACCGAAATGATCTTACCAGGGCTGTTGCCGCTCTCTCTTATTGCTGTCTTTGATTTAGAAATTTTAGCTGATGATCAATAAAATGCAGCAATATCTGTTGCTTTTGGTGACGTGAACTCCATTAAATCTGCATATAGCGCGGGAGTTGAAGATCGGATTTATATCCGTTTTGAACAAACACATTTATGTGACCAGGTGTAAATGGAATCGTTTTGATACATCAGATAGCTATCCGATCTGAGAAACGCAGGAAATTTAAGTGCCTTTAAGTGCCACTACAATAAATTTTTTTTTTTTTGAAAAACTGCTGTACATCTTCTTCCAGCTTTATATTTTTCTTTTATTCTGATAAAGTTAACTGAATGAACTTTTGTAAGTAGACCTACATAATTGCTTTTTCTGTTGCAAAAGACACATTGAATTAATAAGCGATATTGTTTTGCAGGAGCAATATGAAAAATAGTGAGCAATATGAAAAATAGTTGCACAAAAAGAAAAAGAAAATCCTGTCACTTACTCACTGTCACGTCTCTCTAAACCCATAAGACATTATCTATGAAACTCAAGGATGTTGATTGAAGCCTTCAAGCTCAAATGGCACATAAAAGCACCATAAAAGTTTTCCATGTGATTTAAAGCTGCAGTCCGTAGTTCTTTCTCTTTGTCGCCATCTCTGTTCAGTTATTCGCGGAATTATCAGCTTTACGCGTGTTGTGCCTCGGCACGGCACAGTGCGGATGAATCCAATGTGCGGCTGTCAGTCACCGTGCCGGTGTGAATTCTGGCATTCGCAATCACAGATTCTACTTTTTGGAAGTATGACCAATATAATACTTTTCACCGGAAAATATCGTCTGACCAAGTAAGTAAAATCCACTTTTGTTCTGACCAACTAAGGGATAAAAGCATTGCAGTAAATCGCGCTGATTAAATCTAATGATCGCCAAACCGTGCAAATTATACTTTGTTCTCAAATTGTTCATGTTAACAACATTAGCAGTGCGTTACTACATTTAATGTGTATTAGGGCTACCGGTGTAGTTCAGTTTCCATTTCTGTGCGTATCTGTAATCATATGCATATTTATCCTCGTTTTCGCATGGGCCCGGTTGCAGTCTCTTTTTTTCTGTAGTCACCCCGAAGTAGAATTTCTTCAAAGTCTTTTGCATTTTACAACGGGTGAATCTCCAGTTGTCACTGGTGATTGTCGTTTGAACCTTTCTGGATCCGCCATCAAATTAATAAGTTGAATTATATCAAGTGCTGTGAAAAAAGGAATAAAGCAACTCATGAACTGACCAGTAGGAGGAGCACCATAGAACGCCTGCGCTCCAGGAAATCCTTCCTGACGTCCTTCTGCAGGATAATTATCTCTGGGCATCCTATATGAGGATGCTGTCGCTTCAGGGAAATTAAGGCGCAGGTCATGAACCTCATTCTGTGTGAGACGGAAAACAAAACATGATATTACAAACCCTAAAATATGAAACTTGCCTGATCCAATACCCCAAAGAGCTTCTGACCAGTTTTACATGGTTGTATTTAAAACCACTAGAAAAACCTTCTGGGGTCTGAGGTGTTTTCTGGGTCCTGGAGGTGTTCTGACATGCTCTGACATTTGTGCTTATTTCTGATACTTGTGACATTTTCATGGCTAAAGTCTATTTACACTGTATTCAGCTCAAACTCTGCTACAATAATATGTCAGCAGCATGTATGTAAAAGTTTGTTGTTTTGAGATAATGACGTATATGTGTGGTTTGTGAAAAACAAAATGTCACTGAAATAAGGTCATGAAACCCATACTGATTATTTCTTCACAAGACTTTTGAAAATCGTAACCTAGAATATTTGCTTCAAAACTATTTTAAGGCTGGAAGAACTGGAAGAACTGGAAGAGAGGGCAACTCTCTGAGATAACAAAGGAAATTACCATTTGAACTCACTCTAATCTACATCTCTTGCCCTCTCCCCCCACTCTCTCTCTCTCGTGCAGAGATCACCTGAAACTCACCCAAAATATATATGGTTTTATACATAATATTATGTATATATGTGAACAATTATCATACAGTTTTATACATGTTTGGTATCATTTGAAATGTCTCAGTGCGACTGGTACAAATCAAATGTCTCATTCCCAAAGAAGTAAACCCAAAGGTAATAAAGTTCTTAAGAGTTTATAAATATCTTGAACACAGAAGGGTGTGACTTTCAGGCAAATGGTCCTCTGCTCTCAAAAGGTGTACCCTCTGAATGCAAATTTTCATTGTTAGCACATGTTTCCATGTGAAAGAGGTTTCTGTCTATATAATAAATGTATATGTATAACACTTGCCTGTATGACAAAAATCAACAAAAATGAGTTTTTTGAGTCTCTTTTGCACTGATAATAAAAAAAGAGAGCTGGTGCGCCGGTGCGACCGCCGACCCAAGAGGGTTAATGTAATAGCTTTTTTAAGTTATGTTTTTGTTCTTTTAAGCATTTATTAGATAGGACAGCGTAGATGAAACCGTAAACAATGGGGACGACAGAGAAGGGAACATAGTTTATCATAGTAAAGCTACTTTGAAGCAATATGTATTGTATAAAGTGCTATATAAATAAAGGTGACTTGACTTTAGTGTCCTACAAGGTTATAATCGTTAACGAAAACGAACGAAAAGAATAAAACTAGGTGGGAAAAACCATTGTCGTTAACTGAAATAAAAATAAAAACGAGGCATTACAAAAAAACGATAACGAACTAAAACTGTAATGTGTGTTTGGCAAAACTAACTAAAATAAAATGAAATTATAGAGTAAATGTACTTAGTTTTCGTCTTTGTCAATGTCTTTCATAGAGCAAATAACATTATATCTTACAGTTGACATTTCCGACCATACAGTTTCCGACTGGGAGTGTTTCCCACACATAGACTAATTTGTGGCGGTGCGCCACAGTATCAACACCGGCCGCCACATATTGCATTTCGTTATTATTATTTTTTAACGCTATTTAAAAATACGCAGCGTATTCGTTCAGCTGCATTTTCTTTCCCTGCTCTCCTTCCGTCTCTCTGTCACTCACGCGTCTCTCTCTCTCACACACACACACACACACACACACACAGCCCCTCCCCTCCGTGCACACCGCGTCTCCATGAAAACAAGTGTTCGTTAAAGCAGCACTAAGTAAGAATTACGTTTTTGTCAAACAGCGACCCCTAGAGTCGCTGTGGAGTACTTGTACTGTCGTGAATAGCACTCAAGCAGAGATGGCTCGCACTCACGGCCGGATCCCCTCCCCCTGTACACCGGTACCTGTTCAGTAGGATGGACGCTGTAACGAGTGGAAATAAGGTATGGCCTCTTTAAGAGCTGCGCGCGCCCAACACCACATGTATACGGCGCCGGGTTATTTCTGTTTGATGCTCATTTTATCAGAATTTTATCAGATCTGTTTTTTGCCGTAAAGCAATTCGTTACCTCGCGAGACCTGATATAACACGATACTTCCTAACACGGCCCGCCGGCCCAAAGTTGCAAGGGTGGTTTTGCGGCTCACAGGCACCAGGCGAGACGACCACCATTCAACACGAAATCAGTCATATAAACATTACAATGACTCCAAAGCTGTTCGTTTAAGGTAAAAAAAGTTACTTAGTTCACCTTTAAAAGCAAGTTCACGAAAGGTTGGTATCTCGTGAACACTTTTACACAATGACACATTAAAAAGTGGTATAAAAAATATTTTAAATTCTGAATTAAATTTGTCAGTGTGTTAATGTCGACCCAAGAAGCGATTGCGCCTAGTCGCAAGTTTGAGGTAAAATGCAGTTGGTTTGTCGATGTCGAAACACTATATAAGCTGTGATTCAAATATTAAATAATGTTATGTCATTTTTTTACTCTTATACTGAATGCTTGCTGCTTCAATCCAGATGAGTTGTATAGGGTAAATTTAGTATAGGGTGTGAAAATTGTACAGCTGTGGGATTTGTATAGGGTGTGAATTTTGTATAGAAGATGTGTAGATTTTTGGTACGGTGTGTGGATTTTGTAAGAGGTAAAGAGATTGAGCTCCTGACACTCTGACAGCAATGTCTTGTGTGGCTCAAAAATGGGTTGAGTACATGCTGTTCATGTGTGTCTTCTTTAGTCTGTTGGCTATTTAGGTTTTTTCCTGGCACACGTCACTTGCACATTTTGCACTTACTGCGGAGTCTTGTGTAGACTGTTTACATACAGTATTTGTGCCCATATGTACATTTTATGTACTGGTGTTATTGTTGAATACATATTTCTAAAATTATATGATGTTTTTGTTAAATTATTATTACAGAATACTTTTTTCTGACCTTTTTGAATCTTGCCCCTGGTTATTACTGGTCAAGTCAGCTTTCTTTCTATAGCGCTTTTCGACAATATACGGTTCTTAATGGAATGGTTACACGTATAGAATTAACAGTTTAATAGCATACCACAACTGATGTGTGGCCAAACATGCTGAAAGGGTCATGAAAGCCTAAAACACATTTCTGTAACATTATTGAACATTTGATCACACACACCATTTGATGCCACAGAAGATGACAGAATGTGTAAAATGGAATAGCCACTGGCATGAAGAGCTGCGGCGTATGGGAATATGTCATTCATGAGAGGTACTGCAGTCATGAGATCGCTCGATACAACAACACGTGTGGAGCATTGCAGCATGTTTAGGTCTTCTCCAAATGAAACTCACTGATGCAAATAGTAGGCCTCCTTCGGTCGTTTGTCGACCATGGATATTGCGTCCTAAGAGTTTGCGGTGTTACGACTAAAACAGCATCGTCTGTGGCTGGTGAGACCGATGTGGGAGAGACAGTCTCTGCTGCAGAAAGTGCAGATGTAGTTGGTCGTGGGTGGCAGTCCGTGTGTGCGTGCCTTCTGCCTGGCTCTCCTCTCTTCTGCTAGTTTCAAGATCTTCTCCCCGACTGTATTTAGCTGTTTCTTGAGCAGGCAGCGCTAGCTGCTGTGGTTAGCTGCAGTGTCCTCCCAGATCTCTGTGTTGATGTCCAGGGCTTTCATGTCGCGCTTGCAGACATCTTTATATCTCTGTTGGGGGCGACCTTGGGGTCTTTTGCCGGATGCGAGTTCACCATCCTTGAGGATCCGACCATCTTCCATACGGCGCACGTGGCCAAGCCAGCGCAGTCTGCATTGTCTGAGCAGGGTGTACATGGTGGGGAGGCCGGCACGGGCAAGAACCTGGGCGTTGGGCGCTTTGTCGTTCTAGCTGATGCCAAGGATGTGACGGTGACATTGCATGTGGTAACTGTTCAGCTTCTGCTCTTGCTTGACATATGTTGTCCAGGATTCACTCCCGTACAGGAGGGTGCTGACTGGCTTTGTACATTGCCATCTTGGTTTGGGTGGTCAGCTTGGGGTTCTCCCAGACGTGAGTGGTCAGTCATCCTGGTGTTGTTGCAGCCTTTCCGATGCATTTGTTGATTTCGGCATCTAAGGACAGGTTGTCGCTGATGGTGGAACCAAGGTAGGTAAACTGATGGACCACTTCAAGTTCGTAGTTGTTGATGGTGATGACAGGTGGTGTGGTGCCACATCTTGACCCAGCACATTGGTCTTCTTCAGGCTGATGGTTAGTCCGAAGTCTTTGCAGGCCTGGGAGAATCCATCCATCAGACACTGTAGATCTTGTTCAGTGTGAGAGGTGACTGCTGCGTCATCGGCAAAGAGCATGTCTCTAATGATGATCTCACGCACCTTGGTTTTTGCTCTGAGTCTTGCAATGTTGTAGAGTCTGCCATCTGATCTTGTGTGCATGTACACCCCTTCGGTTGAATTCCCGAAAGCATGTTTCAGAAGAAGGGAGAAGAGGATGCCGAAGAGGTTTGGAGTAAGGACACAGCCTTGCTTCAAGCCGCTTTTGATGTCAAATGGTTCGGACCTGCTGCCATCGTACTGGGTGGTTGCCTTCATACCGTTTTGAAAAGATCTGATCATGCTGTGAAGCTTCGGGGGGCAACCGATCTTCAGGAGGATGTTGAAGAGCCCATCCAGGCTAACCAGGTTGAAGGCCTCGGTCAAGTCTATAAAGCCCATGTAGAGGGCTTCTGCTGTTCCCTGCACTTCTCCTGTAGTTGGCGAAAGGGAGAAGATCATGTCCACTGTAGAACGTTCTGCTCTAAAGCCACATTGGGACTCGGGGTAGACGCGTTCTGCCAGCTGTTGAAGACGCACTAACAGCACTCTTGCATACAGTTTGCCTAAGGTGCTCAAGAGGGAGATGCCTCTCTAGTTGTTGCAGTCGTTCCTGTCGCCTTTGTTCTTGTACAAGGTGACGATCTTGGCATCTCTCATGTCTTGTGGAACACCACCTTCACTCCAACACTGTCAAAGGATGTTAAATAGATGCTGCGAAAGGGTGGTCTTGCAGTGCCTGATCAGGT